ACTGCATCGGTCGACGCAATTACAGGCACTTCTTCTTTTTCCTCATATTCCTTAGCATTCATATGGTTTCCATATTCTTCTGGTGTATTCTCTTCATATTGGATCACAAGGAAACTCTTCATCAACACGACTCCATTGTTGCGTAAGAATCGCTTGATTTTCCTGTATATACGGCACTAATTGTTGACATTAATTGTTTGTTGCAAATAGTCTCGTATTACTCGCTATAATTGCATTACTATTTATACCAATCATTGGTTTAACGGGATTTCATATCATTTTGGTGGCCAGAGGTCGCACCACAAACGAACAGGTATTGTAGTTGAGCTTAATGTCTGTACTATTGGACAAGCATTGAAATGATATACTGTATAACTGTATTGCAATTATGTACGACAATTAGGTGACCGGTAAGTTTCAAGGAGGGTATAACCCATTTTCGAGAGGCTGTTGGTCTAACTGTTGTTACACACTGTGCGGTCCGCGCTTTCCCAGGTATAGCACTTTGTATAAGATGTCAATTGTCTCAATTATTTAGGACTCATTCAACTGGACTCTCATATAACTCATATCACTAAAAAAGAGACCGCTTTCACCCAAATTATGGGTCATTTGGATGTCATCTCATTCATCGGTGATATTTTCAACGTTTATCTCCCGCTCTGTATTTGTCTGCTATGTTTGTCCACATTCTTCGAGTTTGGGGCAAAAGTGTTGCATAACTTGGGTTTCGAACAATTCATTCTAACCGATGAAATGACCGCTGAGTTGATAAGAGAGGGTCAGGAACTGGTGAAGAGGGAGAAGAATAAAGCGTTACGACATTTGGAGCACAACTCGAGTCAAACGCCACGAATCAGAAAACCAGTGGAAGAACAGCAGCCGCTGTCCACTACTAAACACATGAACACTCGATCCTCTCCTGACGATCGACAGGAACTGATCAATGAAGTCGAACCCATCGGCTATTCCACTAACACTTGGAATTATGATTCGACGTCAAGACCACAGAAAGGACTGTTTGATGATATATGATGTGAATCTATAGAAATGTCTTTTCCACAAAAAGCCACTAATTTTCTAGTCTATAATTTTAAAACTACAAAACGAATTGATATTTATTTAAACAAAAGCGCCCAAAATTATGCTAAAAGTCTATAGAAATGCATGATTTGGGACTTAAGTCTGAATTAAAAATATATGTTGTGTTTAAAATGTAATTTATTTGTATTGCTTTTGCAATTGTTATGAGGTGTACATAAATTGAATGTTTTTTGTTTCGATATATTATAAAATACATTTTTTTTGACCAATTCATTGGCTATAATGTAGTGAATGTAACCATTTAGACATCAGTGTCCACATAAAGCCATTCATTAAAATTATTATTGAACTGAATTTGTAAAAGAGCTCACATTGTGTTCATTCAAATGTTAACAAATAGCACTTATTTTAAAGCCCATAATGTATTATTTGAAAATAGAAAACAATTTTTCCTAACACGAAAAATTTCATGTTAAAGTTTGTGTATTAACATAAATATAAACTTATTATAAATATAAAAAACAATTCAATAACTTTTGAAAAATAATATTAATAATTATTTAAAAATTAAATGTTATAATAATTAGCAATAAATTGTTAAAAACTTAAAGGGGTTTTCGAATCGATTGAAATGCAAATCAATTTTTTAAATATAACAAAAGTTAGTATTAATGACAACGAAGAGACAATTTGGTTGAGATGTTCTCACTTCAGATCAATATTAATCAATCGATATATTAATACAGAGTGAGTGAGTTGTGAGGACATAGAAGTCCATAAGTGTTGCTCAGACAGAGATCTCGTAATTCATTTCGTACTGACTCTGCCGGTTGTCCTCACTATTGGGAGACTGTCTCTGATGGTTTTGATGGTGTGGTTGTCGTGGACTTAATTGGTTGTTGTGTTCGTTGCGCTCAATTTTGTCAGTCATTTCGAGGGCCTTTATGAAAGACATCGGCCTTTTGATGAAGTGAGTGCTTGTATTAGTTGATTGGCAGCTGTGGTCACTGCTATAGTCACTGCTGCCACTCATTTGCTGCTTAACTCTAGGGTCGCCTTCAAAATGTTGTAATTCCGTTTCGGAACGATATTTGGCCACTTCTGACACACATCCGGCGTCGGGTGAGTAATATATAACCATTCCTCCCGGCCCTCCGCCCGGAGTCATTGATCGGCTTTGACTTTGAGTAAATCTATCAGTGTTTGAGCCGCTGCTCGTCGGAGAAAAAGCTCTTTGACTATTGTATTGATTGCCAAGAGTTGGCTTCTCGTTATAGCATTCATCTCCAGAGACAGAAAAAGTTGTCTCTTTTTTGCCACTGTTTCGCAAATAAAATGAAAATCACATTAAATGTCAATAAAAAATAATTGAGTGTAGATTTACTTTTCGTTTCTTCTCATAGTAATCGAATGATTATTGTCTGCATTATTAAACTGTGGTTTATTGTAATCATGATAAGCCATTTGTCCACTCATATTATGAGGGTATGGCTTAAATTGGGGACTCATTGATGAGTTCATATGGTTTCTGTGCGCCGGCGGAGAGGGTTCGCAATCACGCGATTGGCTTTGAGATGAAGACTCTATTCTTTCTAATGATATGCCATCGTTTGGACACTAAATGATATCAATGTTTATATTAATATGAATTATATTCAAAACACACAAATCATACTTTAAAACGAGTCAATCATTCAATTAAAACAACTAACAATATATGGATTATAAGACTTACGGCACTATTTGTCTTTCGGTTATAGTTCTGAGAATGGGATGAGTTGTTGGGACGCATTGAGTTATGAACAAACATTGAATTAGTGCTATCCATATAAACCTTAACTGAATTGTCAGCACCTGTTGCTGCAGAAGCACTCAATGAATTGTATTGATGGAAGTGAGCCAATGAGCTCTTCTTCTTGGCCGCACTTTTGCTATTCAATTAAATCATATGAATGTCATTGCATTGATTCAAATCCTATACAAAGTGCTATACCTGGGAAAGCGCGGACCGCACAGTGTGTAACAACAGTTAGACCAACAGCCTCTCGAAAATGGGTTATACCCTCCTTGAAACTTACCGGTCACCTAATTGTCTTTGAAATCCTATACAAAGTGCTATACCTGGGAAAGCGCGGACCGCACAGTGTGTAACAACAGTTAGACCAACAGCCTCTCGAAAATGGGTTATACCCTCCTTGAAACTTACCGGTCACCTAATTGTCATACATTATTGCCATACAGTTATATATCATTTCAATGCGTGTCCAATAGTACAGACATTAACGCTAAACTACAATACCTGTTCGTTTGTGGTGCGACCTCTGGCCACCAAAATGATATGAAATCCCGTTAAACCAATGATTGGTATAAATAGTAATGCAATTATAGCGAGTAATACGAGACTATTTGCAATAAACAATTAATGTCAACAATTAGTGCCGTATATACAGGAAAATCAAGCGATTCTTACGCAACAATGGAGTCCACAACTACTTCTCAAAGGAACACTAGGTTATACTTCTCTTATGTGGTCTTCTTATACCTTTGGTATACTTACGATTCCTTATACTCCTTTTTCTTCTTCACGGACATTAACGCAGCTGGCTACGTCATGTTAACCCACGGGCAGTGGTGGTCAAAGGTCTGCACAGAGCATGACATTAGCATCAAATGATTGGCACATTAGGACTCACTTCAATGCAAGTGTTGCAAACACTACAATGGGAACAACGCGGTGGTCGATAGAACTGACACGTGACGCACCATTTCATCCGCACAGTTATGCCATTGATCTCCACGTTCTTATAGAGCGGCGCACGAAAGTCGTCGTCTTTGTCCTCATCTGAATTGGCTGTCAATACAAACACATTATATCACCGCTTGTTATATACATATCAACGCCACTATCGATACCTTTCTTTATGATTCCCGGATCCATAAAAGTGGCCAAAAAAAAGTTGGAAATCACGAAAAAAGTGATTATTCCCTGACTTATGGTTACCGATAAGTGATACGCGTTTTGAAGGTATAGACAACTAATCAAACAATAGAGACGTTTAAGTCATAAGCAATGAATGGCGAAGAGATTGTGAGACATACGGGAAGAGGAAGAATGCAGTGGTGGCCGACAGGAGTAGAATCCAGGCACAGGTGGCGGGGATGAGCTTGGTCACTGACTTGCACGCCATAATGCTGTCCAACGGCTGTTTGGCCGCTCAGGTGCTCATCAATTGGCAAATAGAGGTCTAATAAAAGAGTTTTGTGTCAAAATAGGCGTTCATTTATGAGTTTGGCGTTCATTTAGTCCACATTTTGGCCGACAATTCACTTAAAGATTCAATGATTGGTGTCTTGAATGGCATTAATGACTAGTCTTTGGTTTTCATTGCCGTTACTATACATTGGTTTCAAACATAATGTCTATTATTGTTAACAAATAGTCACTAAATGTGTATTCAATGGCATCTAAACCTGAAAACGAGACAAACGTTTCAATTAAACACACCTTTCATCACATTTCAAGCCTTACTTGTAATTAATAGACAATTATATAAATATAACAAACATTACAAATAATATCACTTTTAATATCATGTATAATAAAGTTGTAAATAAATTGTTTAAAAATCTAAAAAACTATTTAAAAGACGAGAAAAACTCAAAAAATTAATATCAATTCAAATAAAGTAAACAAATATTAAAACAATTTGTTATCAAATTATTAATGAAAAGCAATAATCAATTGAAAGCAGTGTTCAAACAGTCATTTCATACCAAAGCAACACATTTTCAATGCATAGACGCATACAATAGACGCCAAACACGAACTCAAGCCCTCATAACGTGTGGCAAATCATGTCATTCAGCCTTTGGCTCTGCATTTGTCGCAAACATTCATCGTTTGTCTCTAATATGGAGTTCTCTGTAGTATTGGATTGCATTGAGAGCTGCATTCAAATCGCCCACAAATGATGACTAATAATAGTTAACATCACTTTTGAAACCCTTAACAGTTAAGGCTTTTTAAAATGAATTGCTTAACTTCAAATCAATATGCAGTATAAACCGTATTAATATTGCAATTCTAACCAATTCTATACTAATTCTATAGTTAGACACTTTTGGTAAAATTCGCATTTTCCCAATATCTTCCTTCCCTAATGTATTTATAAATGGTAGTTAAGTCCAAATATTTCGCACCTTTTTAAGTTTTGTTCAAAAAATGAATCAAAAATTAATTTAAATTAAATCAATTGAATAAATTTAACAAAATCTTGACATAATATGTTTATTTATATTGAGATACATGTATACAATTAGAAAAAACTATTTATAATAAAGGTATATAATATACCGTATACAGTGCAACTTCTCTATAATGAACGGCCAGTTGCACGACAAAAGTGTTCATTATAGGGAGGGTTCATCCAAGGGAGGTTCGAGTAAAATGTCTTATTTTTGCTAAATATTTGAAAATTCACTAATCACAGAATAAATATAGTGTTTATATTGCAGACTCTAGCAATATTAAATGAAACTACAAATGTAAATGTGTTATTTGTTTGTTTAAAGTCTTAGATTAGAAAATATTTTGAATACTTTACAAATAATGTGCTTTAAGCTTAAATAATTATATTTGTTTGTTATAGAGAGTGGAAATTTTATCTTAATCTCTATAAATCCGTTCATAATGGGGAGGTATTCATTATAGAGAAGTTTACCTAAGGGAGGTTATTTTAACATTATAAGTATAGGAAATCCAACGTATATTTCAAATCCGTTCATTATGAGGAGGTGTTCATCCAAGAGAAGTTTACCCAAGAGAAGTTGCACTGTATTACATTGACTGGTCGTGTGATCACATTTTATCTTATTTTCTATAAAAAGTCCTTCTACTTTATAGAAAGGAAAGTTTTTATATAAGGATCTTATATAAGCTGTCCCCTCCCTTCACAGATTGTAATTAAGATATATTATAACATAACCATTGAACACGCGATCAAAGTCCCGTGATGTCCACTCGGATTGGGTCGAGTCATAACTCAATCAAAACTGTTGTCTCTTAATTTAAGATCTACCGAGAAAATGACAGAACACTGTACCACACATTCAAATGTCATATTTTACATTCTTTTACATAAGGCTTATTTGTGATAGAATTTTAATAAATTAAGACTAAAAGCATAAAGAGTTATAACTACCTAATTAATGATAATTCCTAGAATATATGGCAAAAAAATATAATGTAGAATAAAATGTGATTTAAGATCATCTAGATTCTACTCAATCCAATATTTGTTGTTTAAAATCTGCCCATGGCCATTTGGCTGATTACAATCAATTAAACAAGTTACAAAAATTGAATTAATTTTTATTTTATTTTTGCACTCATATACTGCATAACTAATTTACTAATGAAATAATGAATGAAATACACTCATTGAGTGGAATGAGTAAATATTGTAATTACCGTCTAAAAATTGTTGTTATAACCGAGTCTTAAACGTAATATAGGTCTTAAAGTATATCTTATTCTATAGTAGCTTTCAAATTCAACAAAACAGTTAAGTTGTTTGGGCATAATTATCCCTATTTAATAAAATTCATTTTCAAGCAAAAATTTTTAACTTTATAATATTAGTCAAAATATTAAAACTTGTAAAATTCTTCAGTCGAAACAACCAGATCTCCATTTTAGAGATCCCGTCTAGTTACACCGTCTAGGACCCAAGCTATGGGCAGTCCCTGAACAAAGTGTTAGACAGAAAGGTTGAATTAATGTCGACTCTCCCATCATGGCGTGCCCTCGTTAATACGGACGCTAGAAATGTAAATATAAATTAATATAAAAGACCCCCTCATGGAAGATCAGCTATGCTGAATGAGCAGGGTTTTTCCAACTTAATTACAGCTGAGAGGGTAGTTGGCGTGCCCTCGTTAATACGGACGCTAGAAATGTAAATATAAATTAATATAAAAGACCCCCTCATGGAAGATCAGCTATGCTGAATGAGCAGGGTCTCTAAATATCAATAATTTCATTTCATTTCAAATTCTAATCTACAGTATTTAAACTATAAAAGCTACTATGGTCAATGCTAGTAGAACATTTATCAAGATTCACACTTTCTCGTGTGTCTGTATTCTGTAATTCTTTGCTTATAAGCTATTTTATAGTTGTGAGTAACTCACCTTACTCATTTATAACATTAATGGCAGATTTTTAACAACAATATTGGCTCAGAATTTGCATTATATCCAGAATTTCATATAGAATAAGATATCATCGAAAGTTTAAGTTGTTTGGGCATAATTATCCCTATTTAATAAAATTCATTTTCAAGCAAAAAATTTTAACTTTATAATATTAGTCAAAATATTAAAACTTGTAAAATTCTAATCTACAGTATTTAAACTATAAAAGCTACTATGGTCAATGCTAGTAGAACATTTATCAAGATTCACACTTTCTCGTGTGTCTGTATTCTGTAATTCTTTGCTTATAAGCTATTTTATAGTTAACCGATTCCTAAGTTATTTATGACGACTAAATCCATTCATAGCTTATATTCTATTCATATGATTGAAATGCAGTGCTAACTGTTATGATGTAGTGGTGCTCACAGTGACAGTACAGTAATTGCTAGGGCTTCGATTTTTCGGGACTTCTGAAATAAAATTAATTAAGCAAAACCTCGGGAATTATGTACCATTAGATTTAGTGGCCATAATACTTATAGATTCAAAATATATCAATTGTATATTCCCAATTTTTCCAAATTTGGCTTATTTTGTAAAAACTCCCGATAACGCTATTTGAGTATAAATAGTCCCGAAAACATACTTTTTTAGAATAAAATCTCAAGGTATAACTTTTTATAATTTTTTTAAATCTTAGGAATTTGATTAGAGTAGGGTTCGCATCACCATGGAGATGTTAAATTTGTCCATAGAATACAGTTATATGAAATATGAAAGTATTTAAGTAAATATTTAATTAAATATTTGACCCATTTATAGTAAATATTTGGCCTTTTTAATAAATATTATATAACATATTTGACCATGAATTCGTTGCATATTCTACATATTCTGAAAGTCTTTAGTAATCAATAAACTTATTCATAACTGCAGTATAAAACATGAGACAATTTATATAACATTTTTAATGTTTGTTAATTACTATGGCCTCGAAAATGTCATTCCAGAATATTATCCATTTTTGAATCATTTAAATACATAATTATTGGACCAGAATTGAAATAAAGGGCAATTCACCAATTTGGGTGTTCGCCACCAAATGTGCATGTTTTTCACTCCCAAATAATAGAAGCTCTAGGAATTGCCAACAAATAGTCAATAACTCATTTATCTTGTAATAACTTCTGTAAAATACATGTAAAATGTATTTTAGAGCTAAAATTGCAGCGAATGTAGAGTTCAGTGACATTAACACGTTATAAACGCAACAAATCATAACATCAATATAAATCAATTCACTTCATAAAAAAGTGTTAACATTAATGATTACGAACACAATTATTAAGGTTTGTTTGGCTGGCAATCAAAAGTGAATTATAATTATGCAATTGCTGTCAAATTGTATAGACATTTGGTTATTACAAAATTGTTTATTATTCTTGAAATTAAATTACAATTATTTATATCAATATTATATCAATAATACATTTGGAAAATGAGAAGAAATCAAAAACTTAAGAAATTGCCAGAAAAGGAGACAAACTATTTAAACAAATATATAACTCAAGTGAATAACTATTCAATTAGTCTTCTATACATTTAGACAAATATTCAATTTTTAGAATTTATCTTTTAATTTAACAAATAGTTTAGAATTTTAGAAATAAAATTCAAAATATATATCACTTAAAGCCCACCGAATAATACGTTAATATAGAAATCGATGAGACGTTCGGTTGAGACAAATGGTGGGACCAATAGTTTTAAAGCCAATCGCGTCAGTCATGCGTGACATTTGTATACAATAGCGTTGGCCAGCGATCGGCTCAGTTTAGATGCGCTTCCGGTCTCTCGGATGTCATCCGCACACTCTGTTCACAACCAAACACAACAACATTCAGTCATTCATTACTTACAAAATCAAGTCATTCACAAATCTCAGACCTGAGGCAGTAGTAGTCGTCTCGTCGTCATAGCATTCTTCGCCAGTTTCCAAGTCTATGATCACCTCTTCATCGCTTTGTTCATCCAATTGGTGTTCAAATTGAAGACAATTGTCGTCTGAATAGAGATCAGAGCTGTTCTGGTCTGTGGTGTGAATGGTGTGGATGCGGGAGCCGATGACCACGTCTTTGAGGTCATCCCTGAGTTGTGCGATTTGGTTCTGGAACCGCATCTTTGTGCGGACCAGTCGTTCCGTCTGGTGATTGAGTTCAGACTCTGTTCTCTTGAGGTGTTGGATATACCTTATGGCACAACTGATTATATTGATGTGCGAACTCTTCTTCTCGTTGTACTCATTGACCGGAAGTTCCTCTTTAAGCACTTCGAAGCAGTGCCTCAGATGCGCTCTTCTGTTCTTCTCCAGAGTCTTATGCATCTCTCGGTGTCGTGAATACGAAGAATGGTCTTTATTCTTGTGGTTAGCGTTCATACCATTGACGCCATTCATCGGTAAGTTTGCATTCATTGCTGGCCTTATTGTTGAACTCGCGTTCATATCATTCATAATAAGATGTCCGACATTTTGGTGAGCATTTCGTTTTGTACTTGTAATGGATGTCGTCGTCCATCCGTCCGATGTGGCCATCGCTGACATGGGCTGAGTCGCCGCCGCACACGCCGTATACGTGTGGAACTGGACACTGATCGGCACATTTGGATCCACTCGAAGGTGATATGTAGCCAATGGCTCCACCACTTCCTCGTCGTCGTAACTATCGGTTCCGATGTTATGCTTTTGATCATCGCTTGAATCTAATCATCAATCAGACCATACAATCATTCAATTGGTCCACAATTAGGACAGTATTAGTGATGAGGCAATCATTGGGTGATATGAGAGGTGTGTTAGTGATAGTGAATGGTGTGATTGAGTGATCACTGAGTGATCAGTTGGTGACAAACCTGTCTTCTGGATGTGATCCAAATACTCCGCGGCCTCCAGAAGAGTGTCTAAACTCATATTTCATGAGGACTTTGGGTCTAATGAGTGAATCGACGACACAATCAGTGGTTAGTAAAGAGAGACATAATTAGAGACGAATCACACGTTCAGTCGTTCAGTCATTCATTCACTTCTCTCTCCCCTTCTCTCTCACTCTCTGTCTATTATATTATGCTTTCAATGCATTCAATGTATTGTTGTTGTTGTGTATGTCATGTCATGTGCGCTATTATGCCATACCATTCACACATTACGTACACCACTCCACACATCCACATATGACGTACACCACTGTCACTGTCAGACAGTCTGACACACAATCCCATACAGTATAGGCTATTGTTCTAATTCTAATTCGAAATACATGTCAATTATATATCATATTTAAAGCCTCTATTTTTCGGGAACAAAAACTTATAAAATTAAGCATATAAATGAAGTTATCGGATATTTCTTTTACTTATAAATTAGTTATAAATTGTATGCAAGTAAATTTCATCATATTAATCAGGCAATAAGCAATAACTTAACATCTAAAACTCTGATTTTCTATAAATTTAACTAATTTACATTTGTTGAAATATATGTGATGAAATTGCAACATACTTTTAATATTGAAATGATAAATGCGTCATAAACTCATATTATAATTAAAACAATTTCATTAAAAAATTAGATTTATTAGATTTTATATCTAAATATACAATATACAATATTATTTATTGTTTTTATCAAAAACAGAGTTTTTTGGACAAATCCTGCATAAAATGGGCTTTTCTGGAGTTTTCGCAAAATATGCCAAAATCGGGAAAATTCAGGAAAATAAAAATGATATATTTTGGAGCCTTTATAATTCTCAAACTAATGAGATGTTATTCCCCATCATTTAAGTAACTTTTAATCGGGAATTCCCGAAAAATAGAGGCTTAATCATATTCATATTCATAATAAAAATATTATTATTATTTGTAACTATTATTAAAATTAGTAACTAATTAAAAGTCATGAAAAATTATTTGTAATTACAACTAATGTGAAATGTTTATGAACAAGTATAATGAATTATATAATTATTAAAAATATACAAATAATTAATAATATTATTGAAAATAATGAATTAACAAATTAATAAATTAAAAAGTTAAGTAAAAGGGCAGTCAATTTATTGATGGATCAATAGTTATCTAACTAACGGCTGGATCTTATATTTATGAGCACTACAGAGCATGTAAGGCAGTTTTTGCATACAAAAGTTTTTGCGTGTATGCAAAAACTGCCTTACATGCTCTGTAGTTATAGCCATTTCAACGAACCATCGATTGATTAATTGAACCAGTCAAGTTTGTCAATTTAAATTACCATCAAAACTGAAACTAAAATATTAATGTTTTGTTATTTATATTTTTAAAGCTCTTAAATATATCAATAAAGAATTTCATGAATTTAATCATAATGGTCAATTATTTTACATAATGTATATACAAAATGGTCATGGTAGAATATTCTTACAACACATCACAGAATTTGAAAGAATATTTAATAGATTTAAATTATCAAAAAATCTTTATAGATTTTGGTTTATAGAATCTAGATTATACATAAACAGTGTATATTTCTCCTTATTAAAAGTAACTGCTGTACTTCAGTTAAAAACCATTTGATTTAATATTTTATATTTTTGTGAAATATGCTATACTTTAAAACTTTAGCCGAAATGAAATGTTCAAAAGTCAATATAATTTCATTGAAATTTTCATTCTTACGAATGGGTATAAAACGTGATTCAATTCTAAGAAATCCTCGATAAATATAATCTCAATATAAGAATCGGATTAAAAGATTAATAAGATATAGTAATACTACTGTACAGTATATGTGATTCAAAAATCTGAATGTGCATTTATTTGAAACATACGACATTTTACTGTACAATTCCACAGCCTATTGATTTTGCATTTAGGACATTTTAACATTATTAATAAACATAACGTTTATATAAACAAATACTGTACTTTAGTAATCCATAGTTTAATTTTTAATTTATAAAAAGTTCTTTGCAATTGAAATGATTACAATGCAATTAATATTGAGAATAACGTAGGGTTTAAAAAATGTCTAAAGGCTTACAATAAATAAATATTCGATTTCTTCCAAATGTGTTTAAGTTTACATTTATATAACAAATATTACATTTAATTCATTTTATTTCATTTTCTTGTTATGATTTTCATTCTCAACACAACTCATAATCAAAATCATTAAAAGCAATATTTAATATTTAAATAATAATTATTTATTAATAATTAAACAATTTTTTCATTACATTGTAATTGCAATTTGTTATAAGAAATTAAATTCTAATTAATTAAAAAATTAC